GTGGTCACCAAAGGGGCCAATCAAATCACCGACAAAATCTACCATAAGGTGGCGCGCGATACAAAACTTTGAAAAGAACAAACAAAGAACTAGAACAAAGGTGTGACAACACACAGAATATAAAAAATAAAAAATAATACACGTGCCTAGCACTACATATTTCCCCCACTAAATCCCAGAACCAAAATGCAATTTTCTAAAGTCGATCTTTCTACCCCTCAGATTGTAAGGTCTCGGTTCCTTAACAGTAGTATTACAATTACTATCAGCCGCCTCACTGACCTCTCTGGTACGTCTCTTATCACGATACCTATAAACCTCTCACATGTCGATATTCTCGTAGTCCTCATCTGACTCCGGATCCGGATCTGTTATATGCTGTTTACGAGAACGACGCCTTTTGATGGTCCGTACCCAGCCGTAGCAAGGCTTGAGCCTATCTACATGTACAGTTTCGATGTCTTGCCTATCACACCCATCTACCTTATACGTCGTGGGGTTTATTCTTTTTAAAATGCGAAAGGGGCCCAAATAGTTCGGGGCGAATTTATTCCTTTTGACACCCTTTTGTCTTATCTATACCTTTTGTCCTTCATAGAATGTTAATAAGTTCTTCCCCCTGTTTTTATACTCCCGGTTCCTCTTATTATGGGAATCAGCCTGTCTCTGCGCCAACTCTCTTGCAGCATGTAATTTAGTAAGTATGAATGATCTTCGTTCATCTGTCATCATCAGATCAGGTGTCTAATTGAAAGCTGGGCAGCGCGGATCCATCCCAAACAAAAGGAAGGCTGGTGACTCATCTAACACAGAATGGTGAGCATTGTTGTAAGCAAAGCAAGCGGAAGGGATAAGATCATCTCAATCCACGTTCTTCTCGCTCGACGCCTTAGATATCATTTCGATGAGAGACTTATTAGACCGTTCACACATTCCGTTAGAACACGGGCGGTATGCTGTAGTTATGTTACGCCTGATCCCCAGCCATTTACAGCAATCCTCAAAGAAGGATGACAAAAAATTAGTACCACGATTTGACATAATCACCTCAGGCACACCGTATCTGCACACCACCTGATCGAATATAATATTACTTATAGAGTACGCCGTTTGATCAGGTAGTGCGTGTGCTTCGATAAATCTAGTGCACACGTCCACGATGACAAGGATGAACCGACTCCCCCTTTTAGTGGTTTTGATAGGGCCGATCATGTCTACCGCAATCTTTCTAAAGGGGACATTGGCCTTCTCGTTCTCTTGTAGGGGGGCCTTACCCTTATGGATATTGTGACGTTGACAACTATCACATTCCTTAATCACACCTTCTACCAATTTCCTTAAGTCCTTTATAAAATAACTCCTCTCAATAAATTTCACGGTTTTCACAACACCCCAATGTTCAGATAATTCATTTTCGTGGATGGCTCTGACCAGGCTCTTAGCCAGGCTCTTAGCCAGCCCATCCCCTACACATAACCGATCCACATGGCTGCTTCGAGCCTTCCAAAAGTATCTTTTATATAAACAATCATCCATCATTACGTAACCATCAAATTCCTTGTCCAACCCATCGCCCCGTGTGATGTCTCTTTTTATGGGCCCAAAGAGGTTATCACTATCCTGAGATTTGCAGATTTCCTCCTTACTCGGTATCCCCTTCATGGGTGCAGCCGAATTCATGTGGTTAACACTATTTATGTTTCTTGAGAGAAAATCTGCCACTTTATTGTCAATACCCCTCACATGGTTAACCTCTATGTTATAATCAGCGATTTCCATCACCCACCTAATCAACCTCCGACTACCGTTCTGAATGTTGTTCAGGAAAATCAACGGTTTGTGATCAGAAAGGATCACGGATCTCTGGCCAAGGATCATATGTTTGAAATGTCTCAACGCCAATATAATGGCCAAACACTCCTTTTCTATAGTAGAATAATTACGCTCCGCTCCTTGAAATCTCCTACTGTAATACCCGATCGGCTTTAGGTCACTACCATTTTTCTGCTCAAGAACAGCTGCAGCAGCATCATCAGATGCAACAGTATGCAGATAAAAGTCCCTATTGAAGTCTGGATGGGACAAGATCGGGGGTTTTGAAATAGCTTTTTTTAAATCCTCAAAGCTTCTCTGGCAATTGTCACCCCAATTAAACCTCCTACCCTTTTTTGTGAGTTCTGTAAGTGGAGATGCTAGCTTGGAGAAGGAGGGGATGAAATTCCTAAAGAACCCTACCATCCCCAAGAAGCTGCGTACTTCCCTGACATTGGTCGGAGCTCTGATGTCTTTTATCGATTTTACATTTTCTGGGTCAGGTGTTATCCCTTCATTGCTAATTATATGACCCAAATATCTAACTTCCTGGGCTAACAATTAGCACTTCTCAGGGTTCAGGCGTAATCCCTCATCTCTCAGTTTACCTATGACTTGTTCAAGTAAGTGTAAATGGTCTTCAAGGTTAATTGAGAAAAGAACAATGTCGTCTTAGAAGACGAAGCAGCTATTGCCAATGTATCTGGCAAGGATTTTAGACATAACAAATTGGAAAAACCGCCCGCTATTTTTACCACCCTGAGGCATCTTACGTAGTTGATACTTGCCCCAAGGTGTAGAAAAGGCAAATACATGCCTAACATCAGGATCTAATGGGATCTGGAAATATCCCGCCTTAAGATCCAAAACAGAAAAAAATCTGTTCCCTTCTAATTGAGACAGGATGTCATCAATCCGTGCCATGGGGAAAATCTGTGGCTCAGTGATTTCATTTACCTTCCGTAAATCTAAAGTAAGTCTTAATTCACCCGATTCCTTAGGCACCACATGCAATGGGGAATTCCACGCAGACGTACTCTCCTCACATATTCCTGCTTCCACTAGCTCACCAACCTTCTTCTTAAGATCAGGCAAATAGTTGTACGGTATCCGATACTGTTTAGTGTTAATAGGCTTATCCGAGTTAAGTTTAACACAATGCGTATAGTTCATCGCACCCGAGAGATCAGTGATGGTTTTCGCGACCACATCAGGAAATTTACTAAGGATCTCAAGCACTCTCTCCTTCACTTCACCCTCAAGATGGTCGAGCTTCCATATTCTCTCAATTTTGCCATCACTATCGTTGATACTTATGTTGACATCGTTACTACCCTCTAATTTCCAAGACCTTATCACAGGGGCAATTCGTGTTAGAATTCCTGGATCCATCCTAATGGTGTCCACACTTAAGATCAGATCATAAACAGCATTCTCAGGAAACCTTATGCTGGGAATCTCCATCTCATGTATAATCCCGTTACCATAACTTAACTGTGTTGCGACCGCCTCATTACTGTTAATAATGGCCCCAGACATGCCAACTATACGAGAATCGTTACGCACCACACACTCCTCCCTCCTTGACCCTATCCAGTTAGTTAATTCCGACTTTATCACTGTTCTCTCTGCGCCTGTGTCTATGAGCCCCTTCACCTCGCGTCCTAGTATTCTACATATAATGATCGGCAACCCATATCTCATCAGGCTCATGCTATTGGTCAGAGTTATTCTAACGTAACGGTCATCGGTCTGACCTTCCAAATGACCGTATACTAGTTTAAATTTTTGCGCTGGTCACATTGTCTAGATAAATGTCCCTGTCTTCCACAAGTGTAACATCTTCTACTCTCTCTACGAGCTCCAAGTTGACTTCTACCTTCCCTTAAGATCTCACATACAGATTTCATGGACTCATTCAACTGTTTTATTTGGTTTTGTAATTCGTCTATCCTCGGGTCCTTGTTAATTGAGTCACTTTCAGGATTTGCGTTCGCGCAGACTCCACTAACCTCCGCCTTCCCACCGCATACTACATCTACCTCTTCTTCGACCTCAGCCAGGGCGATAGCTTCGTCCAACATTTTTGGGTGTTTTTGCATGACTTGTCTCCTAATTTCAGGATTTAATCCCTTAATGAAGCTTTCCTTAACAGTATTATCCCTTAGCGTTTCCACGTTGGGGTTGTGGGTTATGGCTCTAGAGAGAAGAGTCTTCACCCTCACCCCATACTCGTATGCCCTTTCACCCCTCTTTTGCGTTACCTTGAGGACTAAGCTAAAAGAATTCCGTTCACTCTCCTTGCGGCCGAAACATTTCACAATACCTTCCTTTAATTCCTCATAACTATCTACCCCTTGCTCCCTTAGGTCAAAGAATATCGATAACGGCTCGCCCTTGAGTCGTGCCTGAACGACATTTATTATAACCGATTCTTCCCAATTGGCTAACTTTGCTACGTTTTCTACCGTTTTGAAGAATCTGGTCACATCTAACGTATCCCCCGGCAGGTTTGAGAGGCATGGGATCATCCCCACGAACCCTGTTACAATCGGTGGTACATTGCCGGTTCCAGATACGTCTGGTTGCTGGGAACCACTAGTTATCTGGTCCTCCATAACAGCAGAAAAAAATTTTCTAAATATCCCGTTAATTTAACAGAGGCAATTAATTAGTTCTGCTAATACGTATCAATCTAGTCCTCTTACAACCACTTCTTACCCAGGAATAAATCCTGTCGCGGACGCCAATGTAGTTCTAATGGATCACCAAGGCGATCCAGAACGTGATGTGGGTAAGAATAAATGAGGACTGTACAACAAAAATTAGAGAAAAAAAAACTTTATATATATCAATTCCCTTTTCGCATTGATACAATAAGTACTATAGGACATGAGCTATCGGCTTGTAACAATCTCACACGACTTTCGTCTCCTTAATATTACATTCGCTTTCGAGGTTCGCGAGTACTAATACCAAATCGCTCACAATGAATGTTACAGACGAATTACATAGCAGATCCGCCACCCTGACAATTCATATAGGGCAGTCTCCTTTTTGAGTGGACATCCGATTGGAGCCATGACCACGTGGAAACGAAAATCCTCTTTGGACTGAAATACTGGGCCACGAAAAACAGTCTGATGATGTTCTTTTACCCAACCTTAGTCAGATAATTCTCCGACGCTTACCGAGTCCGATGTAACC